GAAGAGACGCAGCTTTCTAGATGAAGCTATCTACTTGTTCAAGCTGCACGCCCCCAAGAATTAACACAGGGCAAGTAGATGGTATCCTTGTATTTCGATGGGGCAAAAATCATGCCATACTTGGCAGCTTCGATCACCAAGCATTTTAGAACGATCCGCATCATCTGTGCGTCGTCACTAAGCAAGGCAATATCATCAGTCGCGGTTGCCTGGGAGAAGCTCTAAGCCAGAACCCTGGAGACGTTCCAGAGTTCTCAATAAGACATCCTCAACCGCAAAGGTTAAGAGAGCTTACCGTAAGCGCTCACTAGGTCTGTGACATTGTTGTTTAAAGCTCAGTGGGTGGCGACAGTCGACGGAGTCGAACGCAACTTGGATGCCCAAAAAGGTGACAACGATAAGTTGCCGATAAAGGTGGCGCTGCTGGAGGAGTTGGAGGAGCGTATACATCTACAACCAGAAATGAAAGCAGATCATTCCACATGGGAGCGTAGTTCTCGAATGGGTGTTAGTCTGCGCCGTAGGATCATCATCATCATCATTATACACGTCAGTTAGAGGTGAGAAACACCTCAGCTACTGTGCCGCAATACATAAATGAAAAAGGAAAATAAATACAAAAGTTGCATGCCAGCTGAGGTACCAGCAACGGATAGCCATCGTTTCGGTAGGCTACCAGCCGGCTACTAGGCAAAAAGAAAAAAATTATTACGTTTTACGCTAAGAAATGAGATCGTAAGTGGAGGGGGAGGCTAAGACGGATGGGGAGGGACAAAGAAATTCACAGCACGAGCGCCACTGAGGTCGGCTCCTTGCCATGTCAGCAAGTGTATCCAGCCAAACGTGTTCACCGTCTTTTAGACCCCAACCAAGGAGCCGTGACGCTCCAACCGAGGCCAGCACAGATGTGAGGACCTTCATTCCTCTCGACCAAGTCATCGCTTGGCCACTTCTCCTCTTCTTCCATCCACACCCCCGGTGCGCAAACAACGCACGTCGTGGAAGTCGATGGGCTGGCATGCGTAACACGTGGCCCAGCCATCGGAGCCTGGTGCGTGAAATGACGGGGCTGAGCGGTTCAATTCCTTTTCCTGTAACGTAAACAAGGCGTCGAACACGCTCGTTACTCACGCGGTGTTCCCACCAGATGTGAGCCAAACTGCGAAGGCACCGGTGGACGAATGTAACTAGCTTCTTCATGCCCGCCGAGCTTAAGGGCCAGGTTTCGCAACCGTACAGTAAGGTCGAACGTACCGTCGTAGGATGGATGTTAGCAATTTGTAGAAGACTGATTCCTCTGTGGTTGGTGCTTGAAGTACGAACGCCCTTTCTGAAGATGGGTATGATATTCGACTCGCTCCATTTTTCACATCAGACCTTGGAGAACAGAGATGTTAACTGGCTAACAGTTGCCTTGGCACCGTACTTGAACAGCTCCAGAGGAAGTCCGTCGGGGCCAGCAGCTTTGAATCGTTACAAGTGACGAAGCTAAAGACAGAGCTCCGCTTCGGTAGGCGGTTCCAGCGAAGCGTATCAAGGTAAGCAATTAGGCACACTTGTTACACAATCAGGAGGAGGTCAACTGAACTGAGAGTAAAAGTACTCAGCCCGGTAGCCCATGTGTCTAGGCAACTTAGTGATTGGTGGTCCATCAGCCTCGCGAATAGCTTCACTGACGCCAGATCTTCTGTGGCCAGTGGTCTGAATGATCTGGAAAAGTTGGCGAAAATTTCCAGAGAGAGATGCTGTCTCCATATCCGAAGCGAGCGGAGACAACCAAGTTTCGCGATCGTTACGTAGGTTTTGCCTGAGTTGTCGGTTGCGGTGGACTTCATCACAACTTGAAGAAGCTGGGATAGCTCAGCGACGGTCAAACAATTCCAATGAGCGTGCAGTGATCCAGCCTCTCAGAGAACGCTTAACGATTCCACATTATGATTGAGCGAAGAAAGCAGCGCCTTCTGCAAGAAATTGCGGTGGTGTTCGACATGTGTAGGTGGAGCAGGAGCGAGCACAGCTACTATGGAGGATTGATAGGCCAATTGAATGGAGCGGCTAGCTAGGCTATTGGTGTCCAGCGTATGGTGCTTGGGTTTCGAGGAACCCCAACACACACACACGGATGTCCGTGCAGACTAGAGCGTAATCCGAGTTGATTTGCAATCCCGCACACTACCCCAGCATCTGAAACGGATTGCTATGTGATCAAGTTGTGACGACGGTTATGTTGGCGAAAAGGAGCGCCAAGTGGTAGCTTTTCCTCGAATGCTTGAAGTTCGCGCTCATGAGAAAGAGCCTGTTGGTCTCACATAAAACGAGAAGCCTCTCTCTGTTATCAGAACGACTCTCGTCAAGAGCATGACGGCCACCGACATGATGTTCACATGGCAGTAGGCGATCGATCCGTGCATTGAAATCTCCGACAAGGATGATGACATCCAAATACTAGTGTTATCACAGGTTTTTGGGTCCGATCTCCCCAAAGTAGATACACATTTGTTTCTTAGATGGTCAGATCACCGGATAGCTTGGGTGCAGCAGGATAGTAGAACAAATAATAGCTAGTTGTAGATGGAACTTCAGAAATAAGAGTCAACACGAAAATATTGCTATGAGGAACGGCTGTAGACCAGACGTTTGAGGTAGGTCAGTTAGATAAACTTAAATTTATCACATCGACCGTTAATCAATTTGAAGCAGGATCATCCAACACAACAGAGTCGTAACAGAATCTGAGAAACAGCAGGACGTTTGTAACATAAGTAGTAGTGATCAGCTGTTCTGCTACGGGGAATCAAGTTGTGCTCAAGGTTTGGGTACCATTTGATACAGTATACGACAGCAACTGCGTTTAGGAGCAAGCTGGGCACACTAAAAGTGAACCAGATGTATCTTAATGAATTCGTACTCGGTGTCGGTAAAGAAATTTCACCAGATCACTTTTTCAGGACTGTCGGTGACCGAGTGAATAGCGTGCCTGGTTTGCAGTCCACAGATCGCTGGATCGATTCCATGTAGGTGCGGCCGACCTCACAAGAACCATAGCGTACGGGAGACAGGTGGGAATTGTGCGGCAGCGAAGCGTTGGCACAATGAATCGGGGATTGCTGATCGCCCGTGCCCAGCGACTTGCATAACTGCGAAGTGTCACATGTAGGCCCATGATCAGCGCCAAAGAGCAAAGCTACCAACGGCCAATTAACGGCAGTTGAAAACAGTATGACATCTAACTAGTTCACCATTTAGGATGAGCAAATCACGGAAACATGACGGTCAGAGGCAGTCAATAAAAAGATGGATATTTCGCACGGCTGGCCACATTAAGTAGTGAAGTTGACACAAACGCGGCCCTTCTGTCAATCGCCAACTAAAGTGACGCAGCAACTATATTTGCCGCCAGGGGTAAAGGTGAAATTTTCCCCCTGATTGATGCCAGAATAGCCGCGTGAGGTTACACAATCAGCCTAAGGTAAAGTGCACATTGGTTTTCGATGAATGGGATGATCGTTCGGCACACTGAGGTAAATGTGGGGAAAGTGACCACAGTGGGAAAAGTGGGGGGATCGCGGGGAAAACTTTTGCACATGTGTGATACATGGCGCAGATGTGCTGTTGGCCATACAGCGTAACATCAGAATATGCAATCCTCAACTTATCTGGAAATTTTGTCTTTATATTTGATAGTGAACAATCAACGATACTACAGATGCCACCCGTTGTCACATACAGCCCGGGGCGGAACGCCCACGCTCCCTTGTTACGCCTCTGACCACATAGCACTGTAAGTAAGCAGAACAACCATCGCAGTTTCATAACCACGATGAAGGGGCGTCAGAAGCAGTAACCATGGACGACTTCGCCAATTCCAGTAACTGCATGGTCTAAACTGATGTTCAAGGGCACGAAGTCGTCTAAGAACAAAGTGACAACGGCAGCAGTAGTAATGTGGAGGTTAGAGTGGACCGTTCTTCGAATTACATGCTCTAAGAAGTTCAGTTAGTGATCTACCACCGTAATGGCTTTGCTCAGTGACCCATCTTTCACCCACGGCCCTGAATGCGGTGAAATATCACCAGACTATCCCTAATAACATTGATGACTATCGATTTGGTGAGTCATTGCAATCCTCTGACAATCCTAATAAACCCACGAGTTCTAGTTAGACTTCGAATTACGGATACGCTTGCATGAGACTGAAGGATAGCTAGAAGTATATCAAATAAAGTAAGCAGAGTAGCCCACTCCGGTAGTGTACGCTCTGTGATATGGCGCACGAAGCTGGTCTAGTAGGTGAGTCGGATGCCTTTTCCATGCGAATGGGAACAATAGTCTCATTCAGTCAGTGAACGTCAATAAAAAGATTAAGTCCGAATCACCAAATGGTGCCTTGGGGATTACCGTCTCAAATCTTAGGTGCGCTTGTGAGCAAAAAATGGATTCACTCAAGGAACCTATTTTAAACCGATCGAGAATTGCGGGTGGGATTGCATCGTATGGAGCAGATAAGGTGGTCCACCTGAGGGATAGAAAATGGATCAGTTTCAGCGAACCAACTACGATCCGAGCACATGAGTGAGGTGGATTCAGTTTCTAATAGGGCAAAACGCCGTAAAAAATAGCACTGGAAATGCACAGATAATGCGGATAATGCATCGGTGCGATAAACGAAGAGAGAATAACTGGGGCTCCGGAATGTAGCATCACAATCGTAACCGACCCGATGTAAAGTGCTTTTGGATGTCTTGCCAAAATAAAATATTTTCAAGTGCGAAATTAAGTACAGGTACGTATGGCATCAGAGCTTTACCATCAGCTGAGCAGTTGTTATGAAAAACGAGCCAACAGAGTACACATGAAATCTAAGGACAATTGACATGAAACTCTGGTCATATTGACGTTACACACAAAACAGTTGAAATTATCTGCAATTGGGGGAACGGGGTCAAAAGATGTACAGTAGGAAAAAAGAAATAACAAGTACACATACAAGAGGAACGCACCTCCAGCAAGCACGATAAGCAGTCGGTCAAAGGATTATATGACAACGTATCCAACGAAAATTGTTGAAAACAGGTAACAATAGATGAGATGTGCTCTTGAAGACATGAGAGTTCAGTGGTATCAAGTTTGTTCATTGCCTGTTGTGATAAAATGACATTTCGGATTTGATTTCACCTTTCTAAAGTCTTCGCCAAAGCATAAAATATTTCTCAAAGTATCGTGTGACCAACACTGAATGGCATCCGTGGTGCAAGACTGCAACGCTTCCAAAAAGTGATAAGTTAGATACAAGACCAGGCTAACATGGTCAGCCATGTTGTCTCAATGGATACAGCGGCATTGGTGGTGTGGTCCGAGGGAATTCTGAAAAGCCAACATTTTATCAAACAGCATGATTCAAGTTCTATTGGGAGTGAAACAATAGATTAATCTAGTGAATGTTCCTTTTTATGCATATGATTGGACCAAGATTTGACAAGGCGATTTGAGATGTTGACAAGTCTAAGATAAAACGGAATCACATCCTGGCCAACCATTTACTGCCCACATATGCTGTACCAACAGTCCCTGTCGGGTCGAATACGTGAAGGAAGAAAGAGTGAATGGTAAACTCAGAAGACAAAAAGAGGAATATCGACTAAATAATGACACTGTCAAGGCTGGGAAGGAACTGGAAAAAGAACACGAATAAGCTAAAAATACAAGTTGATTAGGAGAACGTCCGGTATTTTTCATAAGAGCGTATAGCTGGCGTTCGAAATCCTTAACCGTATATTCTTTAAGCCATTGCTCTGGAAGTGAGTTCTAGCGTTAAATAACGGCGCGACAAACAGTCCTAACCTGATTAGAACGCGATTTGTATAGCTTAAGTGGGTGATCACGCAGACCAGGTAACTTAGTGGGAGTAAATAAGCAGGACAAGTCTGGATTGATCCTTTCCGTCAAAATACGGTAAGGACCAAGTTCTCTCTAATTCTTCGGCACTGATAACACTTCCAAGTGCCGCAACTAAACTTTCCAGATAAGCCGGAACGGTACGTGTTTAACCTTTCTAGTATCGTGCTTAGCCCAACACAACTAAATGTGTTGTCATTAGGCCCTAAGTTTTGCATCCCTTGTAAAAAAGTTGATCAGGCTGCATTAGAGGTGCAATTTGAGAGCTTAATAGCGCAGGCGCGCGACCTGTCATAAAATTCGCCAGGGGACGTTGAGCACATGTTATCTAGCTTAGTAAACACCTGCCATGATTACATTAAGGCTAGACCAGCCAGTAGTGGTTTACTTACAAGCGAACATATGCAGTCACTTAGAGAGTTATGGTTAAACAAAGAGTTAATTATCTCTAAGCCGGATAAAGGTTCTGGTATAGTTCTAATGAATAGAACTGATTATGTTAGTAAGATGCAACATATTCTTAGTGATGAACGTAAGTTTCAAAAGCTAACATTAGGAAAGGATAATACAGAAGAGTTAGAAAAACAAATGACCGATTTGCTCCGACGAATGATGAAAGAGAATGTTATCACAAAGTGCGAATTCGAAAAGTTGAGACCTTCAGGCGGACATCTGCCACGGTTGTACGGCCTCCGTAAAGTACACAAGGAGGGCGCTCCAATGCGTCCCATCCTGGATATGGTTAGCTCTCCGCAACACTTGATAGCCCAATGGATGGTTGAAAAGCTGGAACCGCTGCGTAAAACTGTCTGCACTTACTGCGTGAAAGACACTTTCGAATTCATTGAGAAGATAAGGGATGTGAACCTTAACAACAAATGGATGTCGTCATTTGATGCGCAGTCGTTGTTTACGAATATTCCGTTGTTGGAAACAGTAGAATATGTCTGCGAATTAGTACGGCAACTGCCTGTACCTATAAATATCCCGGAAAACCTCCTGAAGGAATTGTTACTTAGATGCACCTTAAACGTGCAGTTCACCTTTAACGGGGAGATGTATCGTCAAATTGATGGAGTTGCCATGGGCTCACCATTGGGACCCTTCCTAGCAGATATCTTTATGGCAAAATTGGAGCATAACATATTAAGAACGCACATCAACGAAGTCGAGATGTATATACGTTATGTAGACGATACATTTATACTCTGCAAATCGAAAGCGCAGACTGTGAAACTGTTGGAAGCTTTTAATGATGCGCATCAGAATCTACATTTCACATGTGAGCACGAATCCAGAAACCGACTACCGTTCCTGGATGTTGATATCATCAGAAACGCCGATGGATCGTGCAGCAGAGGGGTGTATAGAAAACCAACTTGGACCGGACAGTACATCAACTTCTATAGTGCGGTACCCATACAGTACAAACGAAACCTAGTCCGCACTCTTTCGTTCCGGGCACATAGAATTTGCACCCCGGACACAATCACCAAGGAATTGCAGAGAATCAGCGATGCGCTAAGAGCGAATGGGTATCCAGATAAATTCATCCTCAAACATTTGAAAGAACGCAAGATCAAACCACCGAGGATGAACGTACCCAAAAAAGAACTAATCGTGCATATTCCTTTCAAAGGCGACAGTGCGGCTGATGCCCTGTCCAAACGCCTGAGAGACACAGTTGAAAAGACCTATTTCGCGGCTCGCCTACACATAGTATTTTACAACAAGCCTATATTCGCAAAACCTTTGAAAGACAGGCTGCCTCCGGTGACCCGATCAATGCTTGTTTATCTTTACTCGTGCTCCTGTGGGGCACGATACGTGGGTCGTACCACGAGACGCCTATCTCATAGGATTCGCGAACACATCCCAAAATGGTTTTACAAAGGCGAAGCGAGGTCGAGTAACAGTTCCATCCTATCTCACCTTCTAGAGTGCAGTCACGCAGGAACGGAAAATGATTTTAGAGTCATCTATACTGTTCCTGAACGTTTCACGCGCGGATTCCGGATGCATCTTCTGTCTATCGCGGAAGCTATCTACATCCGCCATCTCAAGCCAGAATTATGCGTACAAAAACAGTTTGTACGTCCTTTACTTCTACCGTGGCCTACAACTTCGGATGTGATTTCCCCTGTACATACTTGCCACCTACAATGACCCCGTGATTTATTGATTTGTACCCATGAAATTAAACATTGTGTTCAATACGCAGCCCAATCCGGCACATTTAGCATTTTCCTCATCATGTAATGTTTGAGTCTGATGAGAATTGCCGAAAAGAATTCTTTACTCAAATTCTGCCTCCCTTGATTCATTCTAATAAACTTCCAAAATAGGCAAACGTTCATGATACGACTGCCGTAGTAAATTTTAATGGACAAAGCTGGAAACAATATTCTAGTATGGTCGCACAAAAACCGAGAAGAGCTACCCAAACGTATCGGCGGTTAAAATTCCGAAGGAACGGTGAATAAACCATACCATACGGAACTCACTATAAGCATCGCTCTCCCAATTGTCGCCAGAGTGAAGGGCCAAAGTGTGGACGATACCTAGATTGAACTGCTGAGTGAAAATACTGCGGATAACGAACTCCTTTGTGTCTTGATCCTCGGAAGTCTTTATCATCCAAAACTGAGTGGAATGAGAAGTTATGACATCCAAGTGTCTAGAATCTTGTAGAGGGGTCACTTCCCATCCCAAGACCGTGCAACGCACCCTATGCGTCGTTTGGCTCTAAAGTGCTTGCTGCAACACCGAATCCGACTCATACTAATTTCTACTGATGTTGTTTGCTCTATCTGTGACTCGTGCCAAGCCGCTGAGAAAGACAAGCGCAACATCGCTGGTTCACTCCCGCTCGGCCATATAAACCTGCCCGTGGTCTACACAGTGGATACAATGCCCGTTTTCCTTCCGCCACCAGCCGTGTTCGGCTCAACGACCCCGGATATTAATCGAAGTTGAGATCCCTCTGCTTCATCATCAGAGAGTCTAGTGCCTGGTGAACAAAGTACGTAACTAATGAAGAGAACCTACATATGTCATGAGTCAGAGAGCGACACTAATGAGAGCCACGCTGGACACAGCTGTTTGCAAGGATAAATCAAAGAAAGTCGTAAGGCCTAAGACCCGGAAGGACTCTTCATGATCACGGCTGAAACTCGTCCTGGACAGAATGAATCGGTTACAGCCCCTGATTAAGAGAAACCCGAAAGCAAAGCCGATTGGTCGCGAAAAAATTAGACCCTCTCCCAACGACCACTGTCTGATTAGTGTCCATGCTCCAGGATCTGGTGAGAAAATACCAGTGGATAAAATATCTGACGACCAAAAATTCGTACAAAACATAGTCTCCATAGTGTTCACTGATAGAGAGTCGGGAATCAAACTTATTTCCGCCTTTCGTCCCGGTAGAAAGCAGAAATACTCTACTAAGGTTTGTCCCCTTATAAGGGGTATTATAATACCATCTGACAAGATGGAGCTGAATGTAACCGTATCCTGAAACGATCCTTAAGTTTCAAGGAGGAAACGCTCCATGTTCTGAGAAACTATTGCCCTGAGAACCGTGTTAAAATAAAGATGGTCGCCGGTGAGCTAAGAACTCGGAGATCAGACGGCGAAACCAATCTTCATATAGAAAATGTTCCTGTTGTGATGAGAATCCTGAGAGTTCGCTGGAGGTTGACCCTAATTCTATATGGGTCGTAAGATCAGGGTTAGTACATGAGCTGAGCATCATGTTTGCCAACGTCCGTAGAAAGATTAAAAAACGGGGCGACTTTCTTGCTTCGTAGCTAGGTCCAGACCTGATAGCCTTCACGGAGACTTGGCTATCTCCGGATACTCCCGATAGCGAGGTCTGTATCCCCGGATACCAAATTTCTAGAGGTGACCACTATGAAACGAAGACTTGGGTCGGCCTAATCCTCTACTGAAGATCAGACCTCAAGGCACACACTATTGAGGTAATCAGTGACGGTAGTACAGCAATGTTGTGGTGTCCAAAGCACAACGGATGGAAACCTTTTGCTGTCAGTGCGATGTACACGGACTCTTGAATAACTAAAGTCTATGGGAGTGGTAGGGACTGTCTAATTCTGGGTGACATCAATTCACTTGATGTGGACTGGAATCTGCTTCACTGAGGGATTACTATCTCATTTGATGCTGGTCTCCTTGCAGCAGTTCTCGATGTCAACTTATCATGTCTCCACGCCTACCATAACATTATTGGTCCAGTCTAGGCACATCCTCGATCTGGTGCTCTCAAGATTATTTTCTAATATCTCTGAACTGATCACTCTGTCGTCAATTGGTCATAGCGAACAATGTACCCTATTCTACACGTGGACGCGACGACACAGGTCAGGCCAAGATCCAAAGACGATACAAGCTTTCGCCTAACGAGCGTTCTGCTTCTCAAACCAGTACTTCGACGTTTGTTTGACTCTCCTT